TGAATCTTATTTGTTCCTAAGCAAGGGATTGAATCTTATATATTCTTCGAGATGCAAAGGGGGTTGAATCTCTCTGATGGATAGAAAGCTTGGTGGTACCTAAAGGTGATCTGGGAAGAAGCCTGATCTGAGGAGTGCCAGGAGAGCCAGGCCACAGTTTTCACTTTTCGTTTTTTTTGTCGATGAGTGAAAACAGTGGCACATAGACCGCATGCACAGTTCTCAGTAGAAACGCGCACTCCTGGCACTCCTCAGCCCAGGCTTGGCGAAGAAAGCACTCCTGGCACTCCTCAGCCCAGGCTTGGTGAAGAAAATGTGCGCGTTTCTACTGAGAACTGTGCATGTGGTCTATGTGCCACTGTTTTCACTCGTCGACAAAAAAAAAAAACGACAAGTGAAAACAGTGGGCATAGAGTTAAGATGCGTCGGGGAAGAGTAATGCTTAATCTATAGAAGCATGTGCGAGAAGCAGTCTATGGTCACTGTTTTCACTTATTCTTTTTCTTGTCGATGAACCTGACTTTTTTTTTTTTTTTTTTTTTTTTACGATGCCAGAGGTTGGATCTTTTTTTTGCGATGCCAAAGGTTGATTTTTTTTTGATTTTTTTTTTTACGGTTTCATAACTTTCATTGGATGTCCCGTATTCTGTATAAATGACCAGCAGGGAAGACTGAATTTCCCTAGGCTCTTCACGTTCTGAATCTCAAGAGAGAAGGCGAGCGGAAAACACCCCTTTCTCTCTCTGCACATTGAGAGTGAGACAGAGAGAGAGAGAGAGACAGAGACAGAGAGAGAGAGAGACAGAGAGAGAAAAAAAAAGGAAATGAGAGAGAGAATACTGGAGCCTGAAGCAGTCTCTTGAACGAAGGCCATTGTGTGGAACAGAGTTCACCGATTGATTATATAGATAGAGCATTTGAATTTTATCTAATATTATTTAAGTATGAAATAAGAATTAAATAAGAATAAATAATACTGTATTCAATAACAAGGGCGAATTACATATATTTTTCTCTTTCTATATAGATATATGAATATAGATATGTTTGTTGTCCTCTTCTCTCTCTCTGCCTACGGTTTACCGGGCAGTTCTGTTTGTGACGATATATACATGTGACGATATATACATTATACTATATATGAATATAGATATATATACATGTGACGATATATATACATTATACTATATTCATATTAATGCCTCTATTGAACTATTTTATGAAATGTGATAAAATCGAATGATGTGTGTAGCGTGGCGATGTATTACAGTAATTAATTAACTATTAATTAATTTAATTAATTAATACTGGATGATGGCCGTGAGTGCGTACAAACAAACAAAAAAAAAAAAGGTAAGAGGGAAAATCAACCGATGAAAAAAATCGATGCCCGCGCTCGTTGTTGACCCACATTGAATTCTTTTTTAACCGAGATTAATTAATAATCCAATCACCGATATTAATCAGTCCATTCATTAATTAAGGGTCATTCAGATGTGATCACCAATTTCGCATTTGATTTTGATGCAGAGATGATGAGCATTACTTGTTGGCGTCACCAATGCCACACGCGCGAGATATGAAAGAGTAGAGAGGCAACCGGTCTGGTTTTTTTTTTTTATCGTGTGGGGTCCGATGGTCCACGGATCAGATATCAACCTGATCAGAACAGATACAATGCACCTGATCTTACTTAGCCAAAAGGCCGAGCAAGGTATTGGTCTGACCATATCCCCAAGAGTAGAATGGAGAAACAAAAAAAAAAAAAAAAAAAAAAAAAA